TCTCAAATATTCCTTTAGAAATTGAGCTTCTTGAGTTTCTATTGTATATCATTTTCAAATATTACATGCCTCTAATTGCACACGCATACAAAATTATCATTTTAAAGATAAAAGTGCATCAACTTGATATTCAATATACTAAATATTGAAGTTAAGCATAATAATATCACAAATAGCATGAATTCTCCATGATATAACATAACATTTGGAACTAATCGTGGGCTTATAAACATACATATATGCACGTAACTATAATTACATAATTCCAAATATTCACATGCATCATATAATTTATGCATACAAAATACTTTTATGTACATAAGCATTTCAAGATTAATATGGAATAAATAATCCATTTGCACATTTAATAAACCATTATCCGATTAGACATCATTATTCTCATGCTGAAAATAATTTATATCATAGCATAAATATCCATATAATTTAATCAGATACTACAACATAATTTCCAATTCATAAAATTATGCTTCAACAGACATATATTATATGCTTTTAATTCTATGTACTCATAGACATCGACATCATATAAATAATATAACATAAAAAAATTATTATTGTATGTTATCTCATGTATGCGACAATACTAGCATCTCATAATATTATGCACTAATTTAATATAAATAATGCATATGAATTCCAGCAAAATCTCATGCATATGTCAAGATTAATCTATGCATCTCAACATATCGAAATAACATTTAAAGTATCTATACATGCTTCAAGCATAACAACATTCAATATTTATCATGCTCTAAAAAATAACGGTATCATGCCAATTATAACATATAGTGTAATATTATTACGCCATAACTTTATCATGCAACATAACCATGTTTCTAATATAATACCATATTATTTATCATATAATATTATCACTTAATTGCATGAGATATAATTTTTATAAATGAAAAGGCGTACCCGAAATAATTATAAACGTGTCGTTTCAAACTTCTAGGACGAATTTGAAATTCTCGCATAAGGAATGCATCAGCAGTTTTGGCAGCACTGAATAACTTAATCATATCTTTAGCATCCGATGTCCGATTTTTGTTGATTCAATATGATCCGAATAGCCAACGAAATTTCCTACAACTTTCGTCTTTTACGTTTTCTGAGATTCGGACTGTATCGTGATCAAATTTAGCCTCCAAGTCGAAGTATGTGTGCTGTATAAGATTGCACCTACAATGGAACCACGAAAATATTAAATAATATTCAAGAATTGAGAATAATATAAACCTCATCATAATTCGGGTGTGATTCCATCATTATTCTTCGATTAGGTCTCATTTCACCAAATCGTGCACCATAAAGTGTTAGAGACGTGTTGGTACGCTGCGGTTGCATCGCCTCACAAAGGGTTGCATTATTCATGAAAAGGTGCTTTGGCAGTTCTGACACCCTTTCGTATTTTCTTCATAACTTCTCCGCATGAACTCCGATTGGGATGATTTAATATGTTCTGGAAAGAAAACTTGATTTTCTACAACGTTTGTGAAATGGTACTTTTACAGATTCTGACTGTATCGCCTCCGAAAATTGGCTGGAACATAGACGTTGTGTTCTGTTCGAAAATGGCATTCTCCTCCAATTTGATTTCATAACCTCTTGGATTTTGAGTGGAATATCTTCTTCTCCATCTCGAAAATACAACTAAGAAATTTTTCTTAAGATTGTTATTTGTGTGTGTGTGTATTTTGAAATGGGAACGAACAAAATTTGAACAGAAGTTTGACAAGAAAAATGTAGTCGAGGCAAGAACTCGGTTCTTTCTCCTTAAGAGAAATTTGCCCCGTACAGTGCTCTCGGTTACGGCAATTGTCTCCCAAGATACAACGACTATTTCAGTTCCAACAAAGCAGCACAACAATTATTGGAACACGGCGAACGAAATGACGTTTAGGACTTTATAAGACACGAAGAACAGGACTTGGTAATGCAACAATATGCAATGATATGTTATGACGAGAATTGAATTCAATTAATGTATTGAATTCCATGTGAATAATGAACTATCTCAAATGGTGGATTTTGGAATCTGTTTATAGATTTTCAAAGGTTATGACCACAACTCACAACTCTTAGGAAAATAATTTCATGAAAAGGTATCACCCCTTTTCCCATTAACCACACACCTATTCAATTTAATAGGTGCTTAAACACCTCCATCTTTTTCAATGGTGGCATTTCACTTTCTTATTTTGGGATTATTTTGTAGACCCCCCTCATTCCCAAATTATATAGAACTAACTACCAAGTGGATTACACTCCAAGGGAAACCCCCCTAATTTCGAAAATATTTTGACATACCCCCCTGGGCCCATCTGAAGTACCTATAATACCCTTTTAAAATCAGTTTTAAACCCTAGACACTCACATTTCGGTCTCTCTTCTTCTCTCAGATTCAAAATCCCGCCTCCAAAAACCTCCCACCGGTGAAATTGCTTCCCGGAGCCATAACTCTCTCTCCGGTGGTCGGAATTCGATGGTTTAACTACCGTTGGAATCTTCTCGTCGAGCTCTTTCTTTTGGTGGTGATTTCATTCAGTTTGGAGAACAGATCTGTTTCTGCAATTTTTTTTCATTCGACGACGGTGGTCTTGCCGGAGGTGTTCTTTGTGTTCCACCAATCGAAATTCGACGGGCTACCCACCGTTGGATTCCTCTCGTCGAGATCTATATTTTTATGGTAATTTTGTTTATTTTTATGTTTACGGATTTATTTCTATATTTTTTTGCATTTGTGGGTGCGCGAAACTGTGGGTGGTTAGTAGCGGCCCCTAGGGTTTTGGTAGGAGGCGAGGGGGGGTGAGGATTCACTGTATCTTTGATACAATAAATCAACTTATTAAGCACCAATTATCATTAAAACACACCAAAAGCTCAAATAAAAAGGTAGGATAAAGTGTAAAAATATACACTTAACAGGGGTCACCACCCTATTGCTACATAGCCTCAGGGGTCACCACCCTTCCTCATGTCCGCAGTATACAATTACCCGCAACCATGCTATTAACATGCAATGGCTATTAGTTGGCGATTTTAATACTATTTTGCATGAAAATGAAAAAAAGGTGGCCTTAAACCTTCGATTAAAAAGATGAATGATTTTCATGAATGTCTCCAGAATTGCATTCTTGATTTAGGATTTTCCGGACACCCATTCACATGGATTAATTTTTACCCTCACACTAAAACTCATCACCTAACAGCTAGTTCGTCGGACCATTCTCCGGTTCTTGTGGATACGAATGATTCCTCTACGTTTTTTAAGCGTCTATTCAGATATGAAATATCATGGTCTACTCATGAGGATTTTATTAACTTAGTGGCTGAGGTTTGGCAAGACAATAATACCAATTCTATTTCTCTGTTTTTTTTTTCTAACCTTCTTCTGTTCAAATTTCGGGCTAAATTGTGAAACTAAATGCTTTTGGCAATTTAGATATGCAAATTAATGAAACATCAAATAAGCTTGATTCCATTACTCGTACACTTATGAACTCATACTTGGAAGATATTCATGAACAAGAACAAAATCTCAGAAAACATTTACAGACGCTCCTTCATAGGAAGGAAGTATATCGAAGCAACGTTCTCTCATTAGATGGTTGAAGGACGGGGATGAAAATACTTAATTTTTCCATGCCCATGCCTCAAACAGAAAACGACGGAACTTAATTCAAAGCTTAAAACTAGAGGATGGATTCTGGATCTATGAATTTGATCAAATTTCAAACACTTTTGTTCACCATTTTAACATGATTTCTCGTTCTACTCACCAACCTCAAGGTAGTTTAATTTAATAACCTTAAAACTCCTATGTTAAGTATCCAAGATCAAAATTCGTTAATTGCGAGAGTTAAGGACCATGAGATTTTGGAAGCTCTCAAAAGAATTGGATCTGAAAAGGCTCCCGGGCGAGACGGTCTGAATGCTCATTTTTATAAAACACCTTGGCACCTTGTGGGACCTTCTGTGCCGAAAGTAGTTAGGGATTTCTTTGAATCAGGCAAACTCCCCTCTTATTTAAACGAGACTCGAATATTTTTAATTCCTAAAAACAATAATGTTGGCACGAGATTTCTATTTGTGAAGATTGAAGAAATCCGCCATACGTGGAAATTAAAGATTGGCAAAGATTTGTTTTCCATGTTTATTTTGGAATTAATTAGAGTCCTATTTTTGTAATATTGTTATTAGGACTTAGATTTATTTCCATGTATTATATTCTAGTTAGGTATCTTTTGTACTTATCTAGAATAGAAGTAGAAATCGACTAGGATTCTATTACCTAGTTAATCGATTTCTTAGGGCCCAAGTTAGGTTTAGGGTGGTGGATTTCGTGCCTATATAAGGCCCTCAACCTCATATGAGTCCGATGGAGCTTTACAAAGAAAAATCCCAGCATAAAGGCTTTGAAGGGTGCAGCCCGTGCTGCAGCCCTGTCTGCACGGCAGGTGTGGCAACAGAACAGGTTTCTTCTACCAGGCCATAAAGAAGATCGGCGTTTCGGGAGAAGTGCTTAAAAGATCTCGGGAGAGGTCGATCCGCCGTTTGAAGGAAGTTCAACATTGGAGGAAGTCCAAGAGTGCGGAGGAGGAATTGCTTTGATTATCAACAAGTTCGAGTCGTGTGCAAGAACGGCGTATCACATAAAGAGGGAGTCTTTAGTGTTTTATTAAGTCCTATTAATGTACACATAAATCTGAACTAGTTTTGCAAGTCCTCGTGGATGTAGGGTACGTTTGTATCCGAACCACATTAAATTCTTGTGTTTTTTATTCTGCTTTTAGTAGGTTAATTACTGTGATAACACAAGAATACTGTTGCCACTCCTAATGTCGTAACACGTAGTCTGTCTCAACAAAAGAGTGGACTTTGATAGGCATTCAAATTCAACAATTGGCATCAGAGCGGGTCACTAGATATACTTAGTGTCCGATTTTGGGTTTTGATTTGTTTGCTTTGCTTATTGGATGACGTGTGTTCATGATGGAATTATTAGAGACCCTTATGGTAAGTTCATTTCGGCTTTATCTAAAAATATCGGCATTTCTTCTAATAATAAAGACGAGATGTGGGCCTTCTTTGAAGGACTTAAAATGGCAAGAAATCTTGATATTACGAAATTTATTAGTGAATCCGATTCCTTATTTTTGATCCTTTGTGTTTCTAGGCAGGATGTTGTGCCCAAGGACTTGAGCGTTCTCCTCGAGGGAGCTTTAAAGACATTGCTTAGTTTTGACAAGGTTACCTTGCAGTGTGGATATCGCGAGATCAGGGGAGCTGCAGACATACTTGCTATTTGCTAAGATGGGGATTTTCTTGGAAAGAAGCGAAACTAGATACTTTGAATCATGGGCCCTTGTTCGAATGATATTTTGGCTTGTAATACATCTGAAATCATATACTCGAAAATGTTTTTATCCTTGTACCAAAACGGTTATCCTAAAGTAATATATTAGACTATTAGTTGCTTCTATTAAAAAATAATATTTTGTAAAAGGAGAGCTTAACAAAATAAAAAACTTTATGCATATATATATATATATATATATATATATATATATATATATATATATATATAATAATGAGGCTTAAATCCTAATATGGTTACTTGAATTGAAGCTTGGGATTTATGCAGACGAGGGTTCTGCTAAATACCAACGGTGCTCATGCTAAGAGTATCTCCAACCGGTTACTATATCCCTAATTTTTCATCTAATTTAGGTATTTTTAGCTTTTTATCCAAAATTTATATATCACCATTACACCTAAAATTATGAAGATTTAATTTTAGCCTTTCACCGTGGTCAACTCCCATATCACCATATATCAAATCCTATTTTTCCACCAAATGTTTTGGTGAAGGAATTTTTATCTCCTACCCATCCACCATTTTCCTATTTTTCAACCAAATCCTATTTTTCGTACTAAGTATAGAGGTGAAAATAGGATTTGGTGTAGTTAACATCATTTTATTAAGGGTTTAATACAAAAAATAAAACCATGTACTATGGACTTTGTATCATATACTACCATGTACTACATATAAATACAAAAACCCCCCTACTAGTACACTTTTTTCCAAAATTTGACGAAAATACCACTGCCAAAGGCTATAAATATAATGGTTTGTCAGAGCCATTTTCCACTATATATTTTGACATTTTCGGTCAATTTTACTTGGAAAATTTCGGTATTTTTATTTTTTTCTACAAAACATCTAATTGCTCATATTTTTTTTTCTAAATAAAATCTTTTATTTTTGTCAATTTGAATTTCTTCATTTTTTTCTTAAATGTCCTCCGGTAGTCCAAATTCTTAACAATCATAGGATTGTAAAAATGTTTGTAATCTTAGGAAGTTTGAACAAGCGGAAGACATTTAAGAAAAAAAATGAAGAAACTCAAAATGACAAAAAAAAAAAAAAAAAGATTTTATTCAGAAAAAAAAAAAATCTAAGCAATTAGATGTTTTAGAGAAAAAAATATAAATACCAAAATTTTTCCGGTAAAATTGACTGAAAATGGTAAAATATATAGTGAAAAATGGCTCAAACAAACACTTATATATATATATATGCATAGCATGGGTATTTTCGTCATATTTTGAAAAAGATGTAATGATAGGGGGGTTTTGTACTTATGTGTAGTACAAGGGGGTATACGATACAAAGTTCATAGTACAGTGGTGTTTTTGTATTTAACTCTTTTATTAATTGGCATATAGATAATGATTTTAACAAATTGCACCTGGTTACCGACTTAATTAGCAAAAATATGTTTTTTGTCGGAATTTTCTCTACAACATTCGCAACGGGGGGAGCCGTAGCCGCTCCTCTTCCACCCCCGCCGCCGGCCTTCTTTCTCACCATTGAGGCGCCTCACACCAAACCCTAACCCCTTGTGACTTCCTAACCCTAATCTACCCAAACCCTAGCCGCCACAGCCCACCGAAACCCTAGCAACGACCGCCTGCTCCACGCTGCCAAGAACGGCCGTCAACAATGGTCGTCAACTCACGGCCGTCAACAATGGTCGTCAACTCACGACCGTCGGTCCACGGAGCGCCGCCGGAAACCGCTCACTAGAACCAAACCATAGTCACCAAAGCGTGGCCGAAACCCTAGAAATCATTGATCCGACCACCCCAACAAGCAGCGATCAATCTTCCACACAAACACCACCAAACCGTCATCCAAAACCTTAGATCCGCCGAAGAAGATGACAAAACGAAACTCCCGTAACCGACGATAGAACCCCACAAAGTCACACTCAGATTGAGTGCGCCGTTGCGGCGGGTTCAATGGTGTCGCCACCAATGAAATCCGTCCACCGGAGGGGGAGGAGCCACCGCCGAAAGCACCTCCGTGGCCGAGAAGGCGAGAGAGGCGGAAAAATGTTTTCCTAACTTTGGGGAGCGTACACTGAGAGCTCTTTCTAGATTCTATGGGTGGTGGTGCATGGTCGTTCTTAGTTGGTGGAATGATTTGTCTGGTTAATTAATTATGACACAGTCTTTTGCCATTCTTAAAGCTTGTCAATTCATTGCAAAAGTAAGGTTTTCAAGCGTTATTTTTTAGGGGCTATTAGTGAAAACCCCTCTAGCATTTGTTTTATGGTACTTTACTAAGAAGTCCATCAATGGGTACTTATTCATAAAGGGGTCCAGACAATAAACTATTTTACGAAAAAGTCCACACATGGTCCAGAGGTTTGTAAAAGACTAAAATAGCTCATCACATTTTAATATGCTCCAATTTCAACATTTAGTTTAATCTAACATCAATTTGACCCCAAATTTTACAAAATATTTAATTTTGACTCAAAACACAATTTTATGGACAATCTTGTTCGTTGACCGCCGGTCTCCAGTAAAAAAAAAGTTTTTTAAAAAAATATGTCAACATTGGATTTTAGTCATATACATTAATTTTCCTTTATTTATAATACATATTAAAGGGATGGGCTTATTGGCGAAAGTGATATAGCTAGGGGTGGAAATCGGACGGATCGGATCGGATTTGGGTGTTTCGGAAAATTTCCGATTTTTTTCGGAAGTCCAAAACGCCTTCCGATTCCGATTCCGATTTTTTCGGAATTCAAAAAGTGATTCCAATTCCGATTTTTTCGGAATTTTCGGAAAATCGGAAATTTTCGGAAATCTTCATTTTAGGAATTTTAGGAAATTTTTCGGAAATTTTCGGAATTTTTCGGTAGCCAAATTGCAGAAAGAAACATCAAATAATGGTTTCGAAGTAATTCTAATAAATTTTGAGTTTTGACTTTTTTATGTTTTAGAAAATTAAAAAAAAATAATATGTCCAAATAAATATATATATATATATATATATATATATATATATATATATATATATATATATATATATATATATATATATATATAATAATAATAATAATAATAATAATAATAATAATAATAATAATTGGAAAAAAAATATTAGTAATATACTAATATATATTACTAGTAATTATTATAATTGGAAAAATCGGAATAAATCGAAAAATAATCGGAAATAATCGGAATAATTTAGGATCGGAAATCGGAAATTCCGAAATTCTATTATGTATTTCCGATTCCGATCCGATTTTTTTCGGAATTTTCGGAAATCGGAATTTCGGAATTCGAAATTGAAAAAGTCGTTCCAAAATCGGAATATTTCGGATCGGATTCGGCGGAAATCGGAATTTTCGTTCCAATCTCCACCCCTAGATATAGCCCATGAATCTAGAATAATAAAGATGGTTGGTGAGAGACTTATGCACAAAAACTCAGTTTTTTTAATAAGGATGGGTCCAGCCCTTTTTCCTTTATTAGTCATAAGTCCAATTTTTCGGTTAGTTCAAATTTACCCTCCATACTATTCACTACATACTTTAATGTCTTTTTATTTAATTTTAATTATAATTTTCATTTATTTATTTATTTATTAAAATAACATATTATTTTCTTAATTATTTAAAAAAAAAATTGTTTTCAATTTTCTATTTCAGGGTTTTCAAATCAACTTCAAAATTTCCGAAAACAACTATAAAATTTCCGAAAACAACTATAACATTTCCAAAAACAACTATAATATTTCTGAAATCAACTACAATTTCATTTTTTTTTCTCACTTTTTTTATTTATATTTTTTCCACAATCCACTACAAAATTAATGAAAACAATTTTTCTTGGTTCATTTTTCCCCGAATCAAGTATAAGAAAATTGTAAAACAACTACAAAAAGTAGTTTTTTCAATAGCAGGTTTACCAAAGAAAATCAAAAAAGTCAAGTATAAAAAAATCGAAAACAACTATAAAATTGTTCAAATCAACTATAAAATATTGAAAACAACTATATTTCTGTAAATAACATCAACACATGCAACAACGAACATTCACTCTACAATTGATTGAACAAAAATTGGCCTACAAACAATACAATAAACATGCCATCAACCAATGCTTCAGTTCATTTGCTAAAACCTTTCACAAACACACAACACACTAATACACAAATTGAAAATCAATTAAATTGTGAATTCTTACAAGACATAAAAAAAAGGTCAGACGTATTTTTACTTTTGCAATTTGAATTTCTGTAAGAAAGGAGATGGCGGCGGCGAACAACATAGAGCGCGACGGCTAGAGGTGATAGGGAGGAGATGACGGCGGCGGGGCGGAGGTGGAAGGGGGAGATGGCGGCTGGAGGAGTCTCTCTAATGGCGTAATCTGAAACCCTAGCATCTCTAACCGCTTTGGCGGATATAGGGCGACGGCAGTGGAGCGCGGCGGTGGAGGAGGTGAATTCCGGTGGCGAAGGCATAGGGCGGCGGCAGAAGAATAATTTTTAACTATGGTGGAACAAGTGGAGAATGTTGGCTGGCGGAGAGTAAAGGGAAAAGAGAAATAGGATTTCATGTAAACACCGATCTTAAAAATAATATGACATGTGACGGTAAATTAGATATATTGAATTTTAATTTATTAAATATTAATTTAATTTAATTACTAGGGGGTTCTCACTAATAAAGTAAAAGGGGTGGATCCATTCTTATTATACACAATGAGTGAGGGGATTCTCACTAATTATCCCTATTTTTTAAGTCGATTGCCTTGATGCAAATATGTTTATCATTGACCAATCCTCTCCTATTTATTGGTCTGCAAGGTGCTTATCGATAGACACCACCATGGGGCGGGGCGGGTTTGAGTCCGGGACCGGGGCGGGTCCATCCGGATCCAGGTTCAAACCAGTTTTCCAATTTTGTTTTTTGTTTTTTTTATTCCAATAATTGCAAGAAAG